AATACACCTTAACATCCAATTTAAAGAAAACACAATAAGAAAGATATCTAATACATCAATTATTGCCCACCTCATGAGCTTCCAAAATCTCAGGGGATCTGATAAAACACTTTGCCGTGATTGCTCACCTCATGTGCTTCCACATCGTGAAATATTTGTTCATGTTCGAGGTATCAATTATTACTTTGCTTTCACCACACCTGGAAAGAAAAGGAAAGGGTAAATTATTTTTCAGAGTGGTTCTGCACATCTGGAATTGTTGTTCTGCCTTTGGTTAGTGGCGCTTGTGCGTATTACTCATCAATTTTCTTGGATGATAAATAATTACAGTCCATGCACCACTCTTTGTTTGATTTTGTTTTGTTACTTTTTTCAAAGGTGGTGTGATAGAGAGTCATTTTGGAACTCGGTGCAATGTTGCGGTTCAGCCTTATCATAATATTCCTTTAATCTTTCTTAGAGATGGCAGAAACCCGGTGCATAACTTGACTAGTAACAATCAGCAGGTGATACTTAGAAGAAGTCTTGGTGGGATTCTAAATGCCAAGAGCTTAAAGGCGCTAAAAGAGAAAATAACTACATGTTATCCCTTCAGTTTTATATTCTATAATACAAAGACTATTTGCCATCAGGTAGTAAATGCTTTCTACCATCCACTTTACTTGCTGTATCTCAGATATTCATGTTGATGATGCTTACCTGATTCTCTCCTCCTGTCAGGTCTAACTGGTCTGGTTATCTTCATACTACTACTTGGAGATTTTATTTTAGTATTGCTCACTTTGTTTCAGATGTACTCTGTATCCCTGATGAACTTCCTGTTAGTTTTGTTTGTCCTTCCGCTTGGTGTCCTATTTCCATTTCCATCTGGAATCAACGCTTTGTTTAGTCAAGGACCTAGGAGATCTGCAGCTCTTGCTCGTCTTTATGCCCTGTGGAATCTGATATCCTTAGTGAGTTTTGCTCAACCTCTCATCTTTCATCCTTCTGTTTTGGAAAGTAGTATGGTTACCAGTAAGGTGCTTACTATTTAACCTTTACATCTAACTGCAGGTAGTTGCCTTCTTTTGTGGATTGATTCATTATACAACAAACTCAAATAAAATGCATTCCGACTTTAAATCTTGGAATTTTAGCATGCAAGTGTCTTTCAACATCTGATATAGCAGATTACGGGTAAAAATGAATTGATTATGAGGTTGAAGATTTTGCGATGTTGTGATTACTTGCACTTTGCTGGGGAAATGCAGGGATGAAAGTGAATTGTGGACTCTTCCTTCTAGTCTTCCACTATGTAAAGTCATCCAATCCCGTCTTGTCAATCCCCATGCAGCTAACCACGAAATTCATGATTCTTCTTTGTACAGCGATGATCCTAAGGTCTTCTGGCAGTCATGAATGTATATTTTTTGTTCTTAGTTCATTTTTTTCCCTCTCCTTTTGATTGTTGAAAGAGCAGCAAGGAAATGAGGGGCGCCACATGGTGTGCCGTGAGTATTTATTTATTTGTACATATGTGATGAGGGCTTGTTGGATTAGCTAGTATTGTGATATCAAGTGTAGTGTACAGGTTAGAAAGTGGTGTGAAACGATGGATTGTGTTTAGTGTGTGTCAGGTCATAATCAAGTGAAGCGTTCAGTAGAAGTGTTTATAGGTTGAGTCTGAGCAGACATTTGTTTTTTGGAGTTGCGGAGGGAAGTATCTCATTTTTCTTAACACTCCTCTAGTCCTATTTATAGGGCAAAAAGAGAAAATATTTTTTTGTCCTAGTTAATAGTGCACTGAGAGAAATTTTGTGTGTAGATATATAATTTTACCCCTTATTTATTATTGTGTTGACTTTGTTTACATGATATAATGTATATTAAATAGGGATTAAGTTAGAAAGTTATTAAATTTTAAATGAAAATTAATGAAGTTTAAGGTTTTTCTTAGTCTGTGTGAAAGATGTTGGAAGTACCTTATAAATAGAATCTCAGAGGAGTATTTGATATGGTTGTCTCCAACATGCAAAACTTCAAGAGAAAAGAGCATCACTTTTTAATGAAACTTTTTGATTATATTCCTCAAGCTCAAGTTCTAAACGTAGAAATCAAATAACATATAATTTATTTACAGATATTAATAAAATTAATAAAATTAAAACCTGGAAGAAATGTGTATTGGTTTTTTAAAATATACTTTTAATTATTTATATCAACAACCATTATATGACAGAAATTCTCTTAATAATTTTAATAGAGATAATTTAGAGAATAAATTATAAATTTAATAAATAAATAAATAAATTGAGCCTTACATTTAGGATCAAATCAAACTTCTTTAGTAACTAACTATATTTAAGATCGAAGGATGATACATAGTGTGCACTGCAAGTTTAAATCTAAATAGAAAATGAAAAGTTAAACAAAACAACCCATAATACAATTTCGTTCTGCAACACCAATACAACAAAGCAGGCTTTTAAAAAGATTTTCGTTGCGTGATATTTATAAAATACTTCCATACATATTTTTGTTTCTATGGGAAAAACATTTATAATTAAATGTAATAAATAACTCATGAAGTATGGCCTTTCAGATTAAATTATTCAACTGTCAAATTTGCTAATAAAATGTAATAAATAGCTAATAAAGTATTGTAAGTAGCTGGAATGTTTAAAGCCTAATAGTTATTTTATATTATCTTAATAAAATGATTTGGTAGCTCAATGATCATACTACCTCCAATCTTTAATATAAGAGTTAGATAATTAATTTACAAATATTTAAAAAAATTAGTTAAGTTAGTTATTTATAATAAATAAATATTTTCTTTCTTAAAATATCATTATTATTCATGTACAATAGAAATACCTTTCAAGAAAAACTTTTTAATATTTATAATCACTACAGGGATTACTTATAGGGTGAATTGGTCAAATGGATAAATATTGTAAACCAAGTAGATTAATATCTATATTTAGGATCAAATTAAATATTTAACTAGTTATTATATTAAGAATATAAGGAAGTACTTCTTTCAGTTCTAAATAAAAAAGTCATTTTATATAGATTTTATATTTAGACAGGAGGAGTATTTTTTTTTTTTTGACATCCAGGAGGCTGGGATCAAGACTTTCTCTTCGCAAACGAGGGGTAATATTGTAGTACAATATTTCATCATCGCCTTTTGGCCCACGGTAATTGGAATCGCCTTTCTGAGCCATGCAAATGTTATGGGTACATTTCTGTAGATTTGCCACAAATTTTTCTGAACATTTCGCCTTTTTACTAACCAATCAACGTGCTTGTCTAAGTCCAACGTTGGAAACTTTTCTGAACATTTTGCCGCTTTACTTGCATGTTACAAATCAACACTTGCCTGTGAGTCAACATGGAAGACTTTTCAGATGCAGATATTTTTGCCGAGGTAAACTGGAGCGGAGAGGACGAGACACCGAACAGAGCTGCGAGAACGTCTGTAAGAGTGAAGATTTCTACAACTGTCATCCAAGGCAGACCATGTATTTTGACTTTTTCTAGCATTTTCCTTCTTCATCGCTCTCCGCCTCGGATCTGGTAATTAATTCCTGTCTCTTCTTTCATATTCTTGTCCTTTTCACTCTACTACGAGTTTGATCGGTGTTGGGCTTCGCAACTACTGTTTTGTTTCCATCTTTCAATCAACTGAGTTCACCCAGGAATTGGATCCAAATACTCATGTATAAACCGAGATCTTGATCCATTCTTGTGCCATTTGGATTAATTCTATTAGCTCCAAAATTGTTGGGGATCTCATTTGAGTTAAATCTTTTAAGAAAAAGGAATTAAGTGTTGCTTCTGTCTCCCCCACTAAGCCAAGTATACAGCGTCATCTACTTAGAACCTAATCATACTATGTAAGTCTCTGTCTCAGGCTTTCTTGTTCGATGATTGTTTAGGGGGTCAGGATTCTGTGGATATTTGGGAATAAAGAAAAACATGAGCGGTCACTTTGCCAAGACTCTCGAGTCGTTGGGTATTATGCAAATTTTGGTCCATGTGGGGTTTGTGGATCAGAACCGTCAGTTTATGCTTGTCACTTGAAAGTTGTTTGTTATGTCTAACGTGCATAGGAAATCTCGTGTTAATAAATTGACAGTTTATTAATGTTCACTCCTTTTTGTTTAGCTCTTCCATTAATATTTGTCCATATATCCATTACAATTATTTCTTTTTATATTATAGTTAACTAGAAAATAAACTGCATGTTTGTCTTCGGTATCTGGACTGAAGGGATCTGACGAAGCTAGCTGGGCGCATAAACAAAAGTCAATGTCTTAATTATCCTTCCCTTTTTTTTTTTTTTGGTTCCAGTATTTTCATTTTTTTTAATTTTCTGGATTTCAAAAGCTGATGAAAGCGAAATTGCTTTTTTATTTTTAATTAGGACAGAGGCTTTTTTCCTATTTAAATACTACATGCAGTATTATACGAGGAACAACATAAATTCCAAATGCATACAAATCATATTAAGGAAAGCCATCGTTCTGGTCGTCGATCTTTTCATTTCCTGATTGAGACGGAGAAAAGCAAGCAACTTTCATCTTCTTCTGGCTAGTTCCATTTTCTTTTAGGATACAATACTAGCTGCTTAGTTATTGGCAACATCTATTATTTTCACGATAAAGTCAATTCAGATCCTTGTCATTTCCCTCTTTTAAAGGGTGTCTTTGTCTATATTATCTTCATACTTGATAATTTTTCATTCTAAATTTACTCTGACAAAATCTTTATTTCGATCTTCCAGTGCAAGCAATAATAATTATGACACGCCGACCAAAAATATCTTCGATACACTATGAATGGACTTATGATGTCTTCCTCAATTTTAGAGGTGAAGATACTCGTCATGGTTTCATAGGAACTCTAAATAAAGAGCTCAATCGAAAGGGAGTTCACACCTTCTTTGATGACAAAGAAATAGGAATAGGGGTGAAATTACACCAACGCTTCTCAAAGCAATCCAGGAATCTAGGATGGCCATTACTGTATTTTCTAAGGAGTATGCTTCCTCAACATTTTGCCTAAACGAACTAGTCCAAATCCATCAATGTATCAAGAAAAACGGTCGACTGGTTTGGCCAATCTTTTATGATGTGGAGCCTTCTGAAGTACGACATCAAAGAGGAAAATATGGACAAGCACTAGTTACACATCGACAAAACTCAAGGGCTGATGAAGAAAAAATGAAAAGTTGGAAGCATGCACTACATGAAATAGCTGATCTTAAAGGTTCATCATGTGATCCAAGGTGATTTACAACTTCTAATTTTTTTTTCCTTCTAATTATATGTTTTACCTAGCTAGTTTCTATGGTTAGAATTGAAGAAGATTATTACAATTATTATGCATGTATATGAAAAATGAATTGGATGGATTTAATCAGAATTGAGCGAAATTTCTGTTTGCTTTTCCAGGAAAGATTATGAACATGTACTCATTGAAGATACTGTGGACCACATCTTTAGGATAATTCGAAGGGCCCCTCTTGATGTTGCCGAATATCCAGTTGGTTTAAATTCTCGCTTGCAAAAAATAAACTCTCTATTGCAACTGGGGTCAAATGATGAGGTTATCATGATGGGAATTTATGGAACTGGGGGAATGGGTAAAACAACAATAACACGTGCAGTGTATAATACAATTGCTGATAATTTTGATTATTTGTGCTTTCTTGATGATATCATAGAAGGATCTGGAAAACATGGCCTAGAACAAGAGCAAGCCAGGATGCTTTCAAAACTCTTAGGAGAGAAGATAGAAATTGAAGAGATTAGTCAAGGAGTTAAGCTCATAAAACGAATGCTCAAAGATAAGAAAGTTCTTTTGATTCTTGATAATGTAGATGAACGAATGCAGTTACGAAAGTTAGCTGGGGCATGTGAATGGTTTGGTTGGGGGAGCAGGATCATTATAACAACACGAGATTTTCATTTACTCAAGAGTCATGGGGTTGAAAGAAGATATGAAATGGAGGGATTAAATCATGAAGAGTCTCTTGAATTGTTAAGTTGGAATGCCTTTGGGAAGATGCAAGTTGATGATCCAAGGTACACAGAAGTTGTGAATGAGGTGATAAGTTATTCCAGTGGTCTTCCCTTGGCCCTTGAAATATTAAGCTGTGATTTGTATGGTAAGAATGTAAATGAGTGGAAATCTATGTTGGATGGATGTAAAAGAATCCCTCATGGTAAGATTCAACAAATATTAGAAGTAAGCTATAAAGGCTTACAACAACTTGAAAAAGAAGTTTTTCTTGATATTGCTTGCTTCTACAAAGGTAGTGAATTGGAATATGTCAAAAAGATAGTAGCAATTGCTCATGATTTTGACCCAGATTATCATATTGGAGTGTTGGTAGACAAATGCCTTATAAAGATTTATGGGGGCTGTTTTATTCAAATGCACGATCTAGTACAAGATATGGGGAGAGACATCATTCGTCTACAATCACCAAAAGATCCAGGAAAACGCAGTAGGCTATGGTCAAATAAAGATATCTTGCGTGTTTTGGAGAGAAATGAGGTAAGTCTGGCACTAATTGAAATTATCTACTTCTTTTCTTATTACAATTAATGAGATTTATATTTGTTTTTTAATGTAGAAAGATAATACTTAGAATTCAAAACAAGACCAGGCCGTATGCATGGAATTTCAATAAGATTAACCCAAAGCTTGACTTGATCGATTTCTAAAGTTATTTTGTTGTGCTTATTATGTCGTGGTTTTAATTTTGAATAAGGATTTATCAATGTTTTTACGGTATTTAATATTCTCAATATTTGTGTTTTATGGATAAGAAATTACAGGGATTTGTGTTATATATTTACATGCTATCAACTATGCGATGAAACCTACCCTTACTGAACTTACCATGAAAAATTATTCCAAAATATTCTTTTAAAATATGACAATTGGTCTAAATAAGAGAAACCAAAAAAATAAATAAAATTAAAATGACATAGAGCTAATAATTATGCATGAGTTTTTGTTATAGAATTCGTTTTCTGGTTCTGTAATATTGCATCATTTTTCATTATGACTTCTTTTCTATGATGATAGAAAATTTTCGTTTTTATTTATGGCTTATAAGGGTGAAAATGAGTCGAAGTGAGGATCATAATATAGGACAGTCTATTAGAATCTATAAAGTAAAACTTATATATTTATGATATTTTTGTCCAGTCAAATTGAAAACAATTATTTTATTAATTTTGCAATCAAAACTATCAATGTATTTAAAATTTTCAAAACTACTTGCTTTAATTTAATTGGATAAACTAAATAAGGTGAACTACCTAGGTTTTTTCCTAAAATAAATTGTGACAGAGAAGCTTAACTTTGGTAATTTAAATTTTTGAGAAAGCCCCCAAATATCTTTTAACAATTTTAAGGTGTGAAATGATTTGGATATCCTCTACTTCTCGGTCTTAGTATTTGTTCATAGCTGCTTGTTAGTGGCGCAATAGGGTGGTTGCCCCTTACATCAATTTTAAAGTACTGAATGCATATAATTCATCTCAATGATTGATATATATATATATATGCGAAAAGAATATTTTTTTATATATAAAAAAAATTGAGAATTATTGCATGGCTCAATCATCAATTTGCATTGTTTGCTATCTGGTTCGTCGTTTTGATTTCGATTTCGATTTCGATTTTTTTTTCATCATATAACTATAGCATGGAAACCCTTAACATTTCTGGAGCTTCGAATATGTAATTTTTTTTTTTGTACTATTATACATATATGAACTGCTAATGTTTTGTTATTTTCTTTTATTTTTTGGTTTAAAAGGGCACAGATGAAGTTATTATCATAATTCAAGTTGAAAGGTCTAAATGCATAGAAGTAGAATGGAATGGAAAAGCCTTCAAGAGTATGAACAATCTCAAAATTCTTATTCTTGAGAATACAAAATTTTCACAAGGTCCCAAATATCTCCCCAATAGTTTAGCAGTATTGAGATGGAGAGGATATCCTTCATCAAGTTTGCCACGTGGTTTTCGTCCAAAGGATCTTGTTGAATTCAATGTGAGAGATAGTTGTTTCAATTCAACGGAAATCAGTAAGGCAAGTGAAGCACCCCTAATATTATGTGTATTTATTTGGTTGGCTAGCTTGTATTTCATCATTTGTTTAATTAGACTTTATATATGGTTTTGGTTATCGCAGATAACGCAGAATATGAAAATGAGTGTTTTGAACCTTGAAGGGTGCGAGTATATCATTCACATACCTGATTTATCAGGCCTCTCAAGTTTAAAGGAGTTACGGCTTGGTAATTGCAAAAATTTGATTGAAATTGATAATTCGGTTGGGCAATTAGCAAAACTTGAAACTTTGAATGTACGTAACTGTGCCCAGCTTACGACTTTTCCAAGTGAATTGAATACACCCTCTCTTTATGATCTGAATCTGAAGATGTGCTCAAGTTTGAATTACTTTCCAGAAATAGCAACTCGTGAAATGAAAATAAAAGAGTTGAAATTGGTTGGAACTGGTATAAATCAATTGCCTCTATCAGTTGAAAATCTTACTCAACTTGTAAAGATAACACATATTGGAGATGACACTGTGGGCAAGGGAATTAGGTCAATGAAGCTACCAAGTAGCACTTTTTTGTTGCCAGAACTTGAGAAGATAGATGTTGAAGGATGCGAAGAGTTGCTTATGGAAGTGGAGTCAATGATATGTCCAAACATAGGGAATCTTCAACTACAAAGATGTAATATATCCAATGAGAGCCTTCATATTTATCTTACTTCATTCCCCAATCTTTGGTTTTTGGACTTGAGCGGCAGTGATTTCACAATTTTGCCCGCATGCATAGAACATTGTCAAAATTTGGAAATAATTAAGCTACGTGAATGCAAGCATCTAATAGAAGTGGAAAAGGTTCCGCCTGGCATACGATATTTGACGGCAGAAGATTGTGTATCAATGAGTTCAGAGTCCAAAAATTTATTATTGAGTAAGGTTAATTTCTGTCTCCACTTTTCTGATATTCACACCCAAAAAGTTCTACATATATATATATATATATATATATATATTATATGACTTCATTTCCTTTGACTCACAGGAATTACTTGTATCTGTAATGCCCATCAACATTCAATTTGGTTTTTATGGCTACAACTTAGACAATTTTTTGTGTGCCAGGGGGAAGCATCCCAGAATGGTTCGATCACTGTAACAAAGGACGGTCCATTTCTTTTTGGTTTCGTGACCCCCACCCCCCATCTCTCTGTGTTTGTGCTATTGCTCAACAAATGGAGGATCATGAATCGATCCAAACAAAAGTGTTCATAAATGAAGAAATGGCATATCAATCGATCCGAACAAAAGTGTTCATAAATGATGAATGGCATATCAATGTCACCTGCCGCTACCGATTACGGGATATGATGTGGATCATATAATTATGCATTATATATGGAATTTCCAAATGGATGGAGAAATTAAAGAAAATCAATGGAATCATGTAAAGATTTGTCCACTTTCAGGCTTGGAGATGCCGTAAAAGAGAGCGGAATTTATGTATTCAGAGATGAATGGACCAATATGGAAAATATCCGATTCACTGATCCTTTCCAAAGTTTGGATTTTTTGAGGAGTGACCGAGGTAAAGTGTGATCACCATTCTTTTTTAATTGATGCAATTTAATCAGATGCATGCAAATTCTGAAAATTTCAATAGAATCATTACGCACACATGTATGAATATATATGAATGAACGAATATTCTTTGTGCGCGTGTTAATTCCTTTAACATTTCTCTTTTTTAAATAATAATAATAATAATAGTAAATATCTTTTCTCTTTTCACTTGTAGATGATGATTTTTGGATTTGTTTAACATCATAAGCTAAGCCATATAGCATTCACGTGTTTTATGTTCAGATTTCAATTGGGATTTAGATGCCCAAAAAAAAAAAAGGCAAGAAAACTGTTTGATGAAGAAGCATGTAAACAAAAGTAAACTAAACACATTCTCCAATGCTAATCATCTTCATGACTCTATCATTCATGCATGCGTATACGTAGCATCAGTGTATAAGATTTTAGATTATTATTATTATTTATTATTATATTATTATTATTATTATTATTATATTATTATTATTATTATTATTATTATTATTATTATTATTATTATTATTATTATAACATAGGCATGAGGTATATGAAATAAAATTAACAATATAATGCTTGCAAAGTCCTCTACTGCTTATTAAGGTACTTTGCATTAACTAATAGCTACTTTAATATAATATTGCAGGATGTGCTATAGAAGGTAACACTGCTACAAATAACCTTTTCTTCCCTTCCCAAAGTGAGCAGCAACATACACACTCACATACTGTTAGGGACATTGACTCGTTAAGAGTACTATCTGCAAAGTGTAGGAGAATTTTATTTCCCATCCCAATTCATGCGGACAGTGGGATGGTGGGTTCTCAATTAGAATATAATTTCTGTATTACTGAGCAAGATGTCATGAAATTCCTAAGCATGCAAGAGCTGTGCATAACCATTATCCAACTCTTTTTGAGGTATGTAACTTTGTTCTCATATCTAGACCTAACATATGCATGTATTTAGCTCTCTCAGACAACTCACATATTGGCATGCAATTTGATAGGTTTTGCTCCGAACTTTGCTCCTTTAGAGGAATTGTTGACAGATTTGGATTTTTGTGTCCAAATGCTATTCAAGGTGTAGGGCATACACGAGAAGATAAGATATCTTACATAGGAAGCACTATCAAGAAAGGCAATAAGCAATGTTGGCTTGCACCAATTTGTGAAGGGTAAGAAGTTTTCACTATTAATATATAAATAATCAATTACAACCAACTTTCACGTAAACAATATGATATTCTAATCATTAACTGATATATTATAGGAACCACTGGACATTATGTGCTATTTGCCTAGGCTCGAATATCATTCATTGGTTTGATTCACTTGGAGGCAAACAAAGCAATGATATTGAGAAAGTATTCACCGAGTAAGTATCTGTTTTTGTAAAACTTTGGTTTGCAACATTATAAGTCAATGATCTAATTTATGTAATATTTAATAATAGAGCCCTTGTGACGTACCAAATCATTGGAGGAAAGAACATAAAATGGCTATACCCAAATGTAAGTAGCTAGTTTAAACCTTGATGCAGGTAGTTTAAATGGTTATGTCGTTCCTATGTTTTTTAAATTCCAGCTACTCTTATTTTTTTATTTGTAGCATCGTCGTCAACTTGAAGATAAAGAAGGTGGATATTACATCATGAGATATATGTATGACATTATTGATCTTAACGAAGTTGACTCATTAGACATGGTAATATAATTATTCCCCAAAACCTAGTCCTCTTATTGTAACTGATGTTTATGAACCATTAATGTTATGATGTGTTTCAAACTTGCAGCATTTCAATAATCCACAATGTTACTCCCAAGAAGACATCAACTTCATTCGTAACAGGTGGTCAGCCTATTGTTTGATGTCTCAGTGGACGTGGAGCAGTCCAAGAGAGATGAGAGCTTTTAAGGGGCTATTATTTGGACGTACTTGATTAGAAGAAATTAATTAGTAAATAATGCATACTAGAGTGGGTGACGACATTTGCTTTTTAAAACATGATTACGTATGAGAGTTGGTTTTAAGTGATAGTTTATACTACCTCTAGTTCTAATTATAAATCCTTATTTATAAACTGTAAACGAAATCTTTAATTAGGATCAGAGGTAGTATGTCTCTAGCCAATAAATAAATAAATGATAGTTTATATATCATTGATGATTGTAATAGTGTGAGATATGGCTTGAGCTCAAAGACATTTCATATGAAAAAAAATTTGTGTGGAAATGTTTGTTTTGAAGTTAATATTCTTTGTTGTAATTGCATAAGATATGGTCTTTTGTTTTGGGAAAATCATTTAGTTTGCACAAGGACAAATCCCCTATTATATTCTCTAATCCCTAATATCTCCATATTTGTATATCGTCAGGAAGGGGCGCTGTCTTTTTCGTTACTTTTCTCATTTCGAGTTCTATGTTTCTATTTTGAAGAAAATTTATATACTTTGCTTTATATACTTAACGTGCCATTGTCAATTAAATATAAAACATGAGAATTTTGCATATATCACTTTTTCTAAAACAATCTCTTATTATTAGTATCATTAATGGTTTAATGTGGTAGTCTTTTTCTTTTATTCTTTTAGTTGTTCACATCATCAGGTTTACTGTCTTTTGTGTCCAAATATTTTGCCTTCTTTTTGTAGATATATTTGTCGTATCTGTTACTTTTTTTTTTTTATTCAATCTCTGTATTATATTCATTTTTTCTTTATTGTCATCTTATGTTGTTAATAGTATTTTCTACAGAGGAAAATACAATTTTTTTTTCATTTACTTAGAATTAAAATATTCTTACTGTTTTAATTATTTTAATGTGTTCAAACCATAATTTCAATATTTCTGTTAATTAATATTGATAAAAGTCAAACGATATTTAATATTCCCTTAGATTCTAAATTAAAAATTCACTTTATCATGTAATCTATTTTAATTTGTATTACAAAATAAATTTTATATTTTAGACTGGAGATAAATTAAATAATATGTTTGTCTTGTTTTTGCATGGGAGAATTAGTTTCCAGTTTTACATAAGTGACATAATTACTATAAATTTCTATGAGTTGTCAATATTGATTTACTGTTTTTTTAAAAAAAAAATTGAATTTTAATCCTAGTCTTTTTCAAATTATCAACACATAATAACATATATAAATAGATATCAACATATTTTTATTAAATTAATAGATATATGGTTTCACTTGTTGTAATTTTTAAATTTTTGAAAAATTATACTGCCAATCTAACATATAAGAGCTTGTTGAAGATTAAATTTAATTTTAAATATAAGACTATAATTCATTTTATTTTCTATATTTATTTTTTTCTCAAAGTAGTTCTTATAGTGATTATACATGTTAAAGTGTTTTCATTCTAATTTTTAATACATATCATCAATAAAGGTATTTTAGTAAAAACAACACTATGATAATTAATACTTTAAATTTCCTTCCTTTTTCTGATTTGATTGGATATATAAAATTATTGAGTATACAAGGCTTAATGTATGAGTCCATTTTTCTTTTTATTTAGTGTTTTAGTTCGTCATATCATCGGGTTTACTATCTCTTGTGTCTAAAAATTTCACTTTCTTTTTGTGGATATACTTGTTAATATCTGTTATTATTTTTAATTCAATCTTTGTATTATATTCAATTTTTATTGTAATCTTGTCACGTAGAATTTTCTAAAAAGGAAAATACAAATTTCTTTTTCATTTATTATTAATGTGTTCAAATAATTATTTAAATATTTTTGTTAATTAATATTGATGGTTTCTTTCTTAACAAAAGATGAGTTATATAAAATAGATATTATATTGAGAACTAAAAATATATTAAATAATATATGTTTGTCCTCTTTTCGTATGGGAGGATTAATGTGCAGTTTTACGTACATGAGATTACTAAAATTTTTTGAGTTGTTAATATCTCATGATCTTCTATTATTTCCGGCATTATATCTTATCAATGCATATTACTCACTTGTTGTCGGACCTTTTAGGGTCATTTTGGTATGAAATTTTTTTTAATAAACTTAATTTAAAAAAATTTAAAAAATGGGTTTAAAAAGCTTTTAATGAATTTTTTTGACTATTTTATCCTATATATTCTTTTTATGAAAATTAATCTTATCTTTTAAATTTTTTAAATCCAGTTTATCGATAAAATTTTTCTTCCCTTCGTGGATGAATTCATGTTTTATCATGGATTTTTATATCTTTTTGTGAGATTTTCCTCATTATCATTGAACTTAATTGAATATTTTTTAGTGGAATTTGTAAAGAGAGTGATTATGTGAATTAATTAATAAAAGGACTGATTTAATTACTTGGTGCAGGGCATTTAGGAGATTTCCAAATTAAGGGAAAAGAGAGCTAAGAACCAATATAATTCAAGAAATAGCAATAAATAACCACACTAAGCAAAATGCATGTTTTTGTGGAGAGCTTCAAAATGGGGGATTTTCCTCAGATTCCATCTATCATTCCTCCTTTGTCATCATCATCTCACTCTTCGTCGTCACTCTCCCCACGACTCCATCACTATCTCGACTCCTCTTGATCTCCGTCTCCCTCCATGGTGATTCCACCTTCTCTCATCTTTATCTCTGAATCGATGGCCGATTATCTTGTGGAGCTTAGTAGAGCTGCTATGACAATGAGAGGCTGAGTGATTTCTGGTCTCCAAGAGGTGTAGCCGAGCTCGAGTCCACATGCTTAATAGGGAGTTTCTGTATTTCTTAATTTCCAGTCTGAATCTGTAACATGTTAGATCCTTCAGGATTTGATATAGAATTATATTTCACTAGAACTTTCGAATCTGTTTAAGAATTAACATATGGTATGATAATTTATTTGCAATATCGAGTTGAAATTACCGTCTCTGATTTAGCGTAGAATTTGATTGTGATTGCTGATTGAGTTGACTCAGTTTTCACGGTGAATTCGAATGTTTTCTAGGGCAATGCACGGTGGTGGTTGTCGTAAAGAGATTAGATTGTTATACTGATTGATTCTTAGCCGAATGAGTTTATACTTATCTCTGGATTGCTACAGTTGTGAAATCTAAGTGATAAGTGAGCTAGCGAGTGGTTAGTTCAGTCTTTTGATTTGGTTTAACTCCAACATCATATTCCGACGAGGAAGGCAGGGCATATTTCTAGGAGAATAATCATTCACATTTGATATTCCATTGCTCATTGGCCTCACACTACCTCATCTAGATAAATTGAAAAATATAAAGATTTTCATTTATAAAAGTAGAAAATATAATAGATAGTTATTCACTTGCTTGCATTTTTAATTTCTTCACTTGTTAATTAGTGGATTAGTTAAGAAATTTTAACCATAAAAAAGTTCCCCGTGAATTTGACTTAGGTTAGGCTACTATATTATATTTTAGTTTATTTAGTTCTTTTTTTTTTTTTTTTTTGGGAAGAACCCTCACGGCAAGGTTTTTTTTCACTTCCTTCCCCTCCAATTTCCTCATCCCATAGGCCTAGTGATTAAGTTGCTTTTGTGATACTACCCACTACCCACTACTATATTATATTGAAGAAATGGAAGAATCGCATGATTTGTTTTTGTTATTTATAATTTTTCTAGTAAACTAATTTAGAAACAAGTTTAGAACAGTTGAAAGCCTAAACGTTAGCTGAAAAAAAGTTTGTTCGTTAAGTGCATTTTAAAACAAGTTTTAAAGTTGTAAAGAAAGAAACAAGTTTCTAACACAATGTTAACGCCTTAGGGACTAAGATTAACACATTAAGATTCTTGCAAAACCAGCGACTTGTTGGTGACTTGAGTCAGCGAGTGTGGGTAGAAAAACAGAGTGGAAGAGAGATATGGGAATTATTGTATGGGAAAGAAAAGTTTGATGAACAAGTTACATATTGGCTTTCAATTGGAGTTCGGACGCCAATTGATTCATAGCCAGTAAACAAAGAATAGAAAGAGTAGGAGGAAATCACAGTAGAACAAAGATGGATAGTATAGAATGTGAATTAATTAATGAAACAACACATGAAGGAAAATCTTAAGGATGTGAGGCTGAGATTTCCGCAGCCATTTTATGCAGAGAGGGGAATAGGAATTGATTAATAATGAGCATTACAGCTTGAGAGAACTATTAGGGACAGGGATGATTTCTTTGACATCTGGACTTTGCTCATCATCCCCTGACTTCTCCAACGGTTCTTCATCTCTCTTGTCTCAATCATTATCACTACTTTGTGCCGTCTCACTGTGGTTCTCTGTAAAATTCTAAAAGCAAATTGAAAATAATGAGATGAAAAACAACGAATGAGTCTCAACAAGGCTGCCAAAATTGCTATATATATATATATATATATATATATATAGATATTATGCAGGGGTTCTTTATATCTGTACCATTATTAAGCTCTCCAATAATCTTATAACATGTATTAGAAAATACTTAAAAATTTATATATTTATCTGTAAAATTTGTGCTGTATCTCATTGAGGCGCCTGGTTTTGAAGAAATATCAAGCATGCACAATGGACCTACGTAGAAAGGGATATAAGTTTGTCTTCCATTGGTGAGTCCACTTGTATAGCCAGTGTAACCAGCGATTGCTCCATGAACTACACTTTGAGCAAGAAGTGTGAAGTACATGTTATCAGAAGCATTGTTTGGAATTGCTCGGATCATGGAGGTTGATCTGTCGGATACAGGAAAGCAAAAGGAAGTAATTAATAATATTATACCCGATGCTCTTTTTAGTATGTAAACAGATGGAGTATGGGATGTGCAATAATTAGGATTTAATTAGATAACTAAAGTATCCGATCCGAATAAAGATATGTATCCATTAGAATTAGGATTTATTACATTAATTGTCTTCTAATATTCTGTCATTATCTTTATTGTCTTTGTTTATAATTAGGATTTGATTTAGGATTTTATTATTATTTATATTTCTAGAGACTTTATAAAAATGGCTAGGGTTTTCATTTATATTCAGTTTTGATGGTTGAATAATTGATATTTCTTGGCGTCCTCTCCTCTTGCTTCTCCTTCTCCTCTCTTCCCTCTTCCTTCTCTCCTTCCCTATCCTCTTCCTCCTCTCTTCTTTCTTCTTTCGTTCTCTATTCTCCCTCACCTCCCTTTCCTGCATCACAATGCCATGATCTGTTTCTTTAAAAAGAAAATCTGCACAAACCTATATATTTGAGGTTCATTCTCATTGTACTGTGCTTGGCAAAATGATCCTGCAAGACGAAAGCAGATAGAAAGTAACTTGTGTAAATATTCTTCTGCTGCAACAGCTTGGTGAGGATCAAACTGAAGAGCACAAGAAATATGGCAAAAATAGAAAAACCTATAATCCACACCTTAATCCTTTGGGATATCCGCAGCCCAACATCTTGAAGAAGAAGCTTGTTTCCTGAAGCATCCTGCTTTTGCACGGATTGGATGCTCTGAGATACAAGATCCTGTCCTGCCCCTTCAGCTACTAAAATTACCATTTGCCCATCCAGCCCACCTGGACCTTCCAGGTAACGAAATTAAGGGAAGATATCATGCTTTAAGGTAATGAAAGTTGGGGGAAATGTCACATGACCCTGAATTTATAAAAAGTTCTAAGCTCATGCTACTTTAAATTACATGATATTATTTAGAAAGTTATCTATTATACTGATGCAAGGGTGAATTTGTACCTTATAGGCTTATACTAATGACTTGATTCTTCCCTCATTTTCCTCCTCATTTATCTTTTTGAAAAAGCGGGAGGTAAGTTGTTTGTTTTCTCTTATCTTTGTTTCCAAGCAAACATGAAGTAAATTGCTTTGTCAGAAATGGGAGAAGCATGAGGCGCAATTTTCAGATTAAAGTATTTTAACTAAAAGCATGCCGTGTATCAATTTTTTTGGTCCTCTTTAGATGAACATATTGCTTTCATTTTTTCCCTACTCAGAATGAAAACATTTCGGAACAAATGCTAGATCATTCAGGCTGTACAGAAAATTCAAGCCACATGCTAATTGCCTGATCACAGTGTTTGAGCCAGGGCAAATTCTCCCATATGTAACCATGGCAGCCTTCAAATCATCTGATTGAAAATACACCTTAACATCCAATTTAAAGAAAACACAATAAGAAAGATATCTAATACATCAATTATTGCCCGCCCCTGAGCTTCCAAAATCTCAGGGGTTCTGATAAATCACTTTGCCGTGATTGCTCACCTCATGTGCTTCCACATCGTGAAATATTTGTTCGTATTCAAGGTATCAATTATTACTTTGCTTTCATAACACCTGGAAAGAAAAGGAAAGGGTAAATTATTTTTCAGAGTTGTTCTGCACATCTGGAATTGTTGTCCTGCCTTTGGTTAGTGGGGCTTGTGCGCATCAATTTTCTTGGATGATAAATAATTACAGTCCATGCACCACTCTTTGTTTGATTTTGTTTTGTTACTTTTTTCAAAGGTGGTGTGACAGAGAACCATTTTGGAACTCAGTGCAATGTTACGGTTCAGTCTTATCATAATATTCCTTTTGTCTTTCTTAGAGATCGCAGAAACCTGGTGCATAACTTGACTAGTAACGACCAGCAGGTGATACCTAGAAGAAGTCTTGGTGGGATTCTAAATGCCAAGAGCTTAAAGACGCTCAAAGAGAAAATAACTATATATTATCCCTTCAGTTTTATATTCTATAATACAAAGCCTATTGGCCATCAGGTAGTAAATGCTTTCTACCATCCACTTTACTTGCTGTATCTCAGATATTCATGTTGATGATGCTTATCTGATTCTCTCCTCCTTTCAGGTCTAGTTGGTCTGGTTATCTCTATACTACTACTTGGAGATTTCATATTAGTATCGCACACTTTGTTTCAGATGTACTCTCTATCCCTGATGAACTTCCTCTTGGTTTTGTTTGTCCTGCCGCTTGGTGTCCAATTTCCATTTCCATCTGGAATCAACGCTTCGTTTACTCAAGGACCTAGGAGATCTGCAGGTCTTGCTCGTCTATATGCCCTGTGGAATCTGATATCCTTAGTCAATGTTGTGAGCTTTCCTCAATCTCTCATCTGTCATCCTTCTGTTTTGGAAAGCAGTATGGTTACTAGTAAGGTACTTACTATTTAACCTTTACATCTAACTGCAGGTAGTTGCCTTCTTTTGTGGATTGATTCATTATACAGCAGAGTCAAATAAAATGCATTCCAACTTTAAATCTTGGAATTTTAGCATGGAAGTGTCTTTCAACATCTGATATAGTAGATTACGGGTAAAAATGAACTGATTATGAGGTTGAATATTTTGTGAAGTTGTGACTATTTGGCAAATATCTAAATGTACCTGCACTTTGCCTGGGAAAATGCAGGGATGAAACTGAATGGTGGACTCTTCTAGTCTTGCACCGTGTAAAATCATCCAATCCTGTCTTGTCAATGGCCATGCAGCTAACCAGGAAATTCATGATTCTTCTTTGTACAGCGATGATCCTAATGTCTTCTGGCAGTCATGAATGTATATTTTTTGTTCTTAGTTCATTTTTTCCCCTCTCCTTTTGATTATTGAAAGAGCAGCAAGGAAATGAGAGGCGCCGCATGGTGTGCCGTGAGTATTAATTTATTTGTACATATGTGATGAGGGCTTGTTGGACTAGCTAGTATTGTGATATGCTAGTATTGTGATATCAAGTGTAGTGTGCAGTTTAGAAAGTGGTGTGAAAGGATGGATTGTGTTTAGTGTGCGTTAGGTCATAACCAAGTGAAGCGTTCAGTAGAGATGTTTATAGGTTGAGTCCTAGTGGACATTCGTCTTTTGGAGTTGGGGAGGGAAGTATCTTATTTTTCTTAATATTTGATCTGCTTGTCTCCAACGTGCAGCCCTTCAAGAGAAGAGAGCATCACTTTTTAATGAAACTTTGGTTATATTCCTCAAGCTCAAGTTCTAAACGTAGAAATTAAATAACATATAACTTATTTACAGAAATTAATAAAATTAATAAAGTTAAAACCTGGAAGAAATGTGTATTGGTTTTTTAAAATATACTTTTAATTATTTATATCAAAAACCATTCTATGAGAAAAATTCTCCGAATAATTTTAATAGAGATAATTTAGAGAATAAATTATAAATTTAAGAAATAAATAAATTGAGCCTTACATTTAGGATCAAATCAAACTTCTTTAGTAACTAATTATATTTAAGATCGAAGGATGATACCTAGTGTGCACTGCAAGTTTAAATCTAAATAGAAAAATGAAAAGTTAAACAAAACAACCTGTAATAGCAATTTCGTTATGTAACACCAATGCAATAAAGTAGGCTTTTAAAAAGATTTTCGTTGTGTGATATTTATAAAAGATTTCCATAAATATTTTTGTTTCTGTGGGAAAAAAATTTATAATTAAATGTAATAAATAACTCATGAAGTATGGCCTTTTAGATTAAATTATTCAACTGTAAAATTTGCTAATAAAATGTAATAAATAGCTAATAAAGTATTAAGTAGCTGGAATGTTTAAAGCCTAATAGTCATTTTATATTATTTTAATAAAATGATTTGGTAACTCAATGATCATACTACCTCTAATATTTAATATAAGAGTTAGATAATTAATTTACAAATATTTAAAAAAATTAGTTAAGTTAGTTATTTATAATAAATAAATATTGTCTTTCCTAAAATATCATTATTATTCATGTACAGTAGAAATACCTTTTAAGGAAAACTTTTTAATATTTGTAATCACTATAGGGATTACTTATAGGGTAAATTGGTCAAATGGATAAATATTGTAAACCAAGTAGATTAATATCTATATTTAGGATCAAATTAAATATTTAACTAGTTATTATATTAAAACTATAAGAAAATATTTCTTCTAATTCTAAATATAAAATTCATTTTATATAGATTTTATATTTAGGAGCGGAGGAGTATTATCTTTTTTTTGACATCCAAGAGACTGGGACCAAGCTTTTCTCTTTGTAAACGAGGGGTAATATTGTAGTACAATATTTCATAATCGCCTTTCGGCCCATGATAGTTGGAATCGCCTTTCTGAGCCATGCAAATGTTAAGGGCACATTTCTGTAAGTTTGCCACAAATTTTTCTGAACATTTGGCCTTTTTACTAACCAATCAACATGCTTGTCTGAGTCCAACGTTGGAAACTTTTCTGAACATTTTGCCACTTTACTTACAAATCAACACTTGTCCGTGAGTCAACATGGAAGACTTTCAGATGCAGATATTTTTGCCGAGGTACACTGGAGCGAAGAGGACAAGACGCCGAACAGAGCTGCGAGAACGCCTGGAAGAGTGAAGATTTATGCGACTCTCATCCAGCGCAGACCATGTATTTTGACATTTTCTAGTATTTTCCTTCTCCATTGCTCTCTGCCTCCAATCTGGTAATTAATTCCTGCCTCTTCTTTCATGTTCTTGTCCTTTTCCCTCTGCTACGACTTTGATCGGCGTTGGGCTTCGCAACTACTGTATTGTTTCCATCTTTCACTCAACTGAGTTCACCCAGGAATTGGATCCAAATACTCATGTATAAACCGAGATCTTGATCCATTCTTGTGCCAAGATACCTTAGTCGTTGGGTATTATGCAAATTTTGGTCTATGTGGGGTGAATCAGACCCGTCAGTTTATGCTTGTCACTTGAAAGTTGTTTGTTATGTCTAACGTGCATAGGAAATTTCATGTTAATAAATTGACAGTTTATTAATGTTCACTCCTTTTTGTTTAGTTCTTCCATTAATATTTGTCCATATATCCATTATAATTATTTCTTTTTATATTATAGTTTACTAGGAAATAAACTGCATGTTTGTCTTCAGTATCTGGACTGAAGGGATCTGACGAAGCTAGTGGGCGCATAAACAATAGTCAATGTCTTAATTATCCTTTCTTTTTTCTTTTTTTTTTGTTCCTGTATTTTCATTTTTGTTATTTTCTAGATTTCAAAAGCTGATGAAAGCGAAATTGCTTTTTTATTTTTAATTAAACAGGGGCTTTTTTCCTATTTAAATACTACATTCAGTATTATATGAGGAACAAAATAAATTCCAAACGCATATAAATCATATTGAGGAAAGCCATAGTTCTAGTCGTCGATCTTTTCATTTCCTGATTGAGACGGAGAAAAGCAAGCAACTTTCATCTTCTTCTGGCTAGTTCCATTTTCTTTTAGGATACAATACTAGCTGCTTAGTTATTGGCAACATCTATTATTTTCACGATAAAGTCAATTCAGATCCTCGTCATTTCCCTCTTTTAAAGGGTATCTTTGTCTATATTATCTTCATACTTGATAATTTTTCATTCTAAATTTACTCTGACAAAATCTTTATTTCGATCTTCCAGTGCAAGCAATAATAATTATGACACGCCAACCAAAAATATCTTCGATACACTATGAATGGACTTACGATGTCTTCCTCAATTTTAGAGGTGAAGATACTCGTCATGGTTTCATAGGAACTCTAAATAAAGAGCTCAATCGAAAGGGAGTTCACACCTTCTTTGATGACAAAGAAATAGGAATAGGGGGTGAAATTACACCAACGCTTCTCAAAGCAATCCAGGAATCTAGGATGGCCATTACTGTATTTTCTAAGGAGTATGCTTCCTCAACATTTTGCCTAAATGAACTAGTCCAAATCCATCAATGTATCAAGAAAAACGGTCGACTGGTTTGGCCAATCTTTTATGATGTGGAGCCTTCTGAAGTACGACATCAAAGAGGAAAATATGGACAAGCACTAGTTACACATCGACAAAACTCAAGGGCTGATGAAGAAAAAATGAAAAGTTGGAAGCATGCACTACATGAAATAGCTGATCTTAAAGGTTCATCATGTGATCCAAGGTGATTTACAACTTCTAATTTTTCCCCCCTTCTAATTATGTTTTACCTAGCTAGTTTCTATGGTTAGAATTGAAGAAGATTATTAAAATTATTATGCATGTATATGAAAAATGAATTGGATGGATTTAATCAGAATTGAGTGAAATTTCTGCTTGCTTTTCCAGGAAAAATTTTGAGCATGAACTCATTGAAAAGATTGTGAACGATATCTGTAGGACAATCAAAAGGGTCCCTCTCTATGTTGCCGAATATCCAGTTGGTTTGAATTCTCGTGTTCAAAAAATAAACTCTCTATTGCACCTTGAGTTAAATGATAAGGTCATCATGATAGGAATTTATGGAACTGGGGGAATGGGCAAGACAACAATCACACGTGCAGTGTATAATACAATTGCTGATAATTTTGATTATTTGTGCTTTCTTGATGATATCAAAGGAAAATCTGGAAAATATGGCCTAGAACAAGAGCAAGCCAGGATGCTTTCAAAGCTCTTAGGAGAGAAGATAGAAATTGAAGAGATTAATGAAGGAGTTAAGCTCATAAAGCGAATGCTCAAAGATAAGAAAGTTCTTTTGATTCTTGATAATGTAGATGAACGAATGCAGTTACGAAAGTTAGCCGGGGCATGTGAATGGTTTGGTTGGGGGAGCAGGATCATTATAACAACACGAGATTTACATTTACTCAAGAGTCATGGGGTTGAAAGAAGATATGAAATGGAGGGATTAAATCATGAAGAGTCTCTTGAATTGTTAAGTTGGAATGCCTTTGGGAAGATGCAAGTTGATGATCCAAGGTACACAGAAGTTGTGAATGAGGTGATAAGTTATTCCAGTGGTCTTCCCTTGGCCCTTGAAATATTAAGCCGTGATTTGTATGTTAAGAATGTAAATGAGTGGAAATCTATGTTGGATGGATGTAAAAGAATCCCTCATGGTAAGATTCAACAAATATTAGAAGTAAGCTATGGAGGCTTACAACAATTTGAAAAAGAAGTTTTTCTTGATATTGCTTGCTTCTACAATGGTAGTGAATTGGAATATGTCAAAAAGATGGTGGCAATTGCTCATGATGTTGACCCAGATTATCATATTGGAGTGTTGGTAGAGAAATGCCTTGTAAAGGTTTATTGGGGCCATCTTATTGGAATGCACGATCTAGTACAGGATATGGGGAGAGACATCGTTCGTCTACAATCACCAAAAGATCCAAGAAAACGCAGTAGGCTATGGTCAAATAAAGATATCTTGCGTGTTTTGGAGAGAAATGAGGTAAGTCTGGCACTAATTGAAATTATCTACTTCTTTTCTTATTACAATTAATGAGATTTATATTTGTCTTTTTTTAATGTAGAAAGATAATACTTAGAATTCAAAACAAGACCAGGCCGTATGCATGGAATTTCAATAAGATGAACCCAAAGCTTGACTTGATCGATTTCTAAAGTTATTTTGTTGTGCTCATTGTGTCATCGTTTTAATTTTGAATGAGGATTTATCGATGTTTTTATGGTATTTAATATTCTCAATATTTGTGTTATAAGGATAAGAAATTATAGGGATTTGTGTTATATATTTACACGCTATCAACTCTGCGATGAAACCTACCCTTGCTGAAATTACCATGAAAAATTATTCCTAAAATATTCTTTTAAAATATGCCAATTGTCTAAATAAGAGAAACCAAAAAATAAATAAAATTGAAATAACATGCAGCTAATAATTATGCACAAGTTTTTGTTATAGAATTCGTTTTCTGGTTCTGTAATATTGCATCATTTTTCATTATGACTACTCTTCTATGATGATAGAAATTTTTCGTTTTTATTTATAGCTTACAAGGGTGAAAATGAGTCGAAGTGAGGATCATAATATAGGACAGTCTATTAGAATCCATAAAGTAAAGCTTATATATTTATGATATTTTTGTCCAGTCAAATTGAAAACAATTATTTTATTAATTTTGTAATCAAAACTATCAAGGTATTTAAAATTTTCAAAACTACGTGCTTTAATTTAATTGGATAAACTAAATAAGGTGAACTACCTAGGTATTTCCCTAAAATAAATTGTGACAGAGAAGCTTAACTTTAGTAATTTAAATTTTTGAGAAAGCCCCCAAATATCTTTTAACAATTTTAAAGTGTGAAATGATTTGGATATCCTCTACTTCTTGGTCTTAGCATTTGTTCATAGCTACTTGTTAGTGGCGCAATAGTGTGTTTGCCCCTTACATCAATTTAAAGTACCAAATGCATATAATTCATCTCAATGATTGATATATATGCGAAAAGAATATTATTTTTTTATATATAAAAAAGAATTGAGAATTATTGCATGGTTCAATCATCAATTTGCATTGTTTGCTATCTGGTTCGTTGTTTTGATTTCGATTTCGAATTTTTTTCCTCATCATATAACTATAGCATGGAAACCCTTAACATTTCTGGAGCTTCGAATGTGTAATTTTTTTTCTATGTACTATTATACATATATGAACTGCTAATGTTTTGTTATTTTCTTTTATTTTTGGTTTAAAAGGGAACAAATGAAGTTATTATCATAATTCAAGTTGAAAGGTCTAAATGCATAGAAGTAGACTGGAATGGACAAGCCTTCGAGAGTATGAAAAATCTCAAAATTCTTATTCTTGAGAATACAAAATTTTCACAAGGTCCCAAATATCTCCACAATAGTTTAGCAGTATTGAGATGGAGAGGATATCCTTCACCAAGTTTGCCACGTGGTTTTCGTCCAAAGGATCTTGTTGAATTCAATGTGAGAGAGAGTTGTTTCAATTCAACGGAAATCAGTAAGGCAAGTGAAGCACCCCTAATATTATGTGTATTTATTTGGTTGGCTAGCTTGTATTTCATCATTTGTTTAATTAGACTTTATATATGGTTTTGGTTATTGCAGATAACGCAGAATATGAAAATGAGTGTTTTGAACTTTGAAGGGTGCGAGTATATCATTCACATACCTGATTTATCAGGCCTCTCGAGTTTAAAGGAGTTACGGCTTCGTAATTGCGAAAATTTGATTGAAATTGATAATTCGGTTGGGCAATTAGCAAAACTTGAAACTTTGAATGTACGTAACTGTGCCCAGCTTATGACTTTTCCAAGTGAATTGAATACACCCTCTCTTTATGATCTAGATCTGGAGATGTGCTCAAGTTTGAATTACTTTCCAGAAATAGCAACTCGTGAAATGAAAATAGAAGAGTTGAACTTGGTTGGAACTGGTATAAATCAATTGCCTCCATCAGTTGAAAATCTTACTCAACTTCGAAGCATAAAACATATTGGAAATGACACTGCGGGCAAGGGAATCAGGTTAGTGAAGCTACCAAGTAGCACTTTTTTGTTGCCAGAACTTGCAGGTATACATGTTGAAGGATGCGAAGAGTTGCTTATGGAAGTGGAGTCAATGATATGCCCAAACGTAGTGTATCTTGAACTACTAAGATGTAATATATCCAATGAGAGCCTTCATATTTATCTTACTTCATTCCCCAATCTTTGGTTTTTGGACTTGAGCGGCAGTGATTTCACTATTTTGCCCGCATGCATAGAACATTGTCAAACTTTGGGAATAATTAAGCTAGATGAATGCAAGCATCTAATAGAAGTGGAAAAGGTTCCGCCGAACATACGATGTTTGGCGGCAGGAGATTGTGTATCAATGAGTTCAGAGTCCAAAAAGTTATTATTGAGTAAGGTCAATTTCTGTCTCCACTTTTCTGATATTCACACCCAAAAAGTTCTACGTGTATATATTTATATGACTTCATTTCTTTTGACTTGCAGGAGTTACTTGCATCTGTAGTGCCCATCAACATTAAACCTGAACATTTTCTTGGCTCGGCTCCTAGCTACTATTTTTGTGTGCCAGGGGGAAGAATCCCAGAATGGTTCGATCACTGTAACAAAGGACGGTCCATTTCTTTTTGGTTTCGTGACCACCACCCCCCATCTCTCTGGGTTTGTGCTATTGCTCAACAAATAGAGGATCATGAATCGATCCGAACAAAAGTGTTCACAAATGGTGAATTGCCATGTCCACCGATGCGAACAAAAGTGTTCATAAATAATAAAATGGCATATGAATGTTACCTGCAGCTACCGATTACGGGATATGATGTGGATCATATAATTATGCATTATATATGGAATTTCCAAATGGATGGAGAAATTAAAGAAAATCAATGGAATCATGTAAAGATTTGTCCGCTTTTAGAGCTTGGAGATGCCATAAAAGAGAGCGGAATTTATGTACTCAGAGATGAATGGACCAATATGAAAAATATCCGATTCACTGATCCTTTCCAAAGTTTGGGTTTTTTGGGGAGTGACCGAGGTAAAGTGTGATCACCATTCTTTTTTCATTGATGCAATTTAATCAGATGGATGCAAATTCTGAAAATTTCAATAGAATCATTACGCGCACATGCATGAATATATATGAATGAACGAATATTCTTTGTGTGCGTGTTAATTCCTTTAACATTTCTCTTTTTTAATAATAATAACAATAGTAAATATCTTTTCTCTTTTCACTTGTAGATGATATAGTAAGTTCATGATTTTTGGATTTGTTTAACACATAGCATTTCACTTGTAGCTAGTGAACTATGTTTCAGTTTGTTACTACCGTGTTTTTACGTTCAGATTTCAATTGTGATTTAGATGCCCAAAAAAAAAAAAGGGCAAGGAAACTGTCTGATAAAGGAGCATGAAAACAATGTAAACTCAAACACATTCTCCCAATGCTAATCATCTTCATAACTGTATCATCCATGCATGCGTATATGTGTGAGTAGCATCAATAGTGTATAAGATTTTAGGGATTGTTATTATTATTATAACTTAGGCATGAGGGATATGAAATAAAATTAACAATATAATGCTTACAAAGTGCTCTACTACTTAATAAGGTACTTTGCATTAACTAATGGCTACTTTAATATTATATTGCAGGATGTGCTATAGAAGGTGACACTGCTACAAATAACCCTCTCTTCCCTTCCCAAAGTGAGCAGCAACATACACAATCACATACTGCTAGGGACATTGACTCGTTAAGAATGCTATCTGTAAAGTGTAGGAGAATTATATTTCCTATCACAATTCATACGGATAGTGGCATGATGGGTTCTCAATTAGAATATGATTTCTATATTACTGAGCAAGATGTCAGGAAATTCCTAAGCATGCAAGAGCTGTCCATAACCATTATCCAACTCTTTGTGAGGTATGTAACTTTGTTCTCATTTCTAGACCAAACAGATGGATGTATTTAGCTCCCTCAGACAACTCACATATTGGCATGCAATTTGATAGGTTTTGCTACGAACTTTGCTCCTTTAGAGGAATTGTTGATAGATTTGGATTTTTGTGTCCAAATGCTATTCAAGGTGTAGGGCATACACGAGAAGATAAGATATCTTACATAGGAAGTACCATCAAGGAAGGCAATAAGCAATGTTGGCTTGCACCAATTTGTGAAGGGTAAGAAGTTTTCACCATTAATATGTAAATAATCGATTACAACAAACTTTCACGTAAACAATATGATATTTTAATCATTAACTGATATATTATAGGAACCATTGGACATTATGTGCTATTTGCCCAGGCTCGAATATCATTCATTGGTTTGATTCACGTGGAGGCAAACAAAGCGATGATATTGAGAACGTATTGACTGAGTAAGTATATGCTTTTGTAAAACTTTGGTTTGCAACATTATAAATCAGTGATCTAATTTATGTAATATTTAATAATAGGGCCCTTGTGACGTACCAAATCATTGGAGGAAAGAACATAAAATGGCTATACCCAAATGTAAGTAGCTAGTTTGAACCTTAATGCAGGTAGTTTAAATGGTTATGTCATTCCTATGTTTTTTAAATTCCAGCTACTCTTATTTTTTGATTTGTAGTATCGTCGTCAGCTTGAAGATAAAGAAGGTGGATATTACATCATGAGATATATGTATGACATCATTGATCTTAACGAAGTTGACTCATTAGACATGGTAATTATATATTCCCCAAAACCTAGTCCCTCTCATGGTAACTGATGTTTATGAGACATTAATGTTATGATGTGTTTTCAAACTTGTAGCATTTCAATAATCCACAATGTTACTCCCAAGAAGACATCAGCTCTATTCGTAACAGGTGGTCAGCCTATTTTTATGCGTATCAGTGGTGGACGGCGTCACGTGAGACGAGAGTTTTGAAGAGGCTATCATTTGGACGTACTTGATTAGAAGACATTAATTAGTAAATAATGCATACTAGGGTGGGTGACATTTGCATTTTAAAACATGACTATGTGTGATAGTTGGTTTTAAACGATAGTTTATACTACCTCCGGTCATAATTATAAGGTCTTATTTGTGGACTATAAACAAAATTTTGTAATTAGGATCAGAGGTAGTATATCTTTGGCCAAAATAAATAAATAAATGATAGTTTATATATCATTGATATTGTAATAGTGTGACATATGGCTTGAGCTCAAATGCATTTCATATGGGAAAAAAATTTTCTGTGGAAATTTTTGTTTTGAAGTTAATATTCTTTGTTGTAATTGCATAAGATATGGTCTTATGTTTTGGGGAAATCATTTAGTTTGCACAAGGACAAACTCCCTATTATATTCCCCAATCCCTGATATCTCCATGTTTGTATATGGTCAGGTCAGGAAGGGACACTGTCTATTTCATTACTTTTCTCATTTTGAGTTCTGTTTCTCTTTTGGACAAAATTTATGTACTTCGCTTTATATACTTAACGTGCCATTGTCAATTAAATATAAGACATGAGAATTTTGCATATATCACTTGTTCTAAAACAATCTCTTATTGATCATTAATGTTTTAATGTGGAAGTCTTTTTCTTTTATTGTTTTGGTTGTTCATATCATCAGGTTTACTGTCTTTTGTATCCAAACATTTTGCCTTCTTTTTCTAGATATATTTGTCGTATCTGTTACTTTTTTTTACTCAATCTATGCATTATATTCATTTTTTCTTTTATTGTCATCTTATGTTGTTAATAGTATTTTCTATAAAGGAAAATACAAATTTCTTTTTTCATTTACTTATAATTAAAATATTCTTACTGTTTTAATTATTTTAATGTGTTCAAACCATAATTTAAATATTTCTGTTAATTAATATTTATATTTTCTTCTTTAACAAAAGTCGAATGACATTTAATATTACCTCATATTCTAAATAAAAAATTCACTTTATCGTGTAATCTATTTTAATTTATAGGGTTAATATAAATTTTAGTCTATCAAATTTAGACCCAATATGGTATTGGTCCCTAAAATTTAAAACGTGTGCTATTGGTCCCTCAAATTATGATTGTTTCAAACTATCAGTCCCTGACATCTTGACATCGTTAAATTCTACTGACATGGTATTAATACTGTTAACCAATGAGTTGGACATATATAAGTGGCATATGACGTGGTATTAACATGGTTAACTAATGAGTTGGACATATATAAGTGGCATATGATGTGGACATGAACTAATGAGTTGGCATGTAGGTGGCATATGATAAAAAAAAAATACAATCAGATGCAAAACGCAGGGGATGACAGACATGACGACAGACACATGGACGCTGGAGGGGGGAGAAAAGGAGGAAATGATTAGGTCAAAAGGACGCACTTGTTGCCAGAAACGATCTCCAAATTACTCAAGTTTTCTATCATTATTCGAGCTGATTGCATTGTTCGAAATTTCATTTTATTTTTTAAATATGGTGCTCTGATATCATTAGGGAGGTTGAGGTGCCAAAAATAAGTCTCCTTTAACAGGACACATGCTGGAAAGTGAAAAGTGTCTTCACGGAGGAGGAAAAAAAGAGGTGGCATGGCAGCCAGACCAGAGCTATCAAAATGCAGCATTTGGAAAAGCAGCAGCAAAATCTCTATACAGATTCGTATTTGGAAATGAGTGACTGGTTAAAGTAGATTCGTAAATGATTGAGAGCCTAATCCAGAAACGATCTTAAACCTCTTAGACCAGCTTTCTCAATGCTCTGCTTTGACAAACAAGCCAAGCTATTCGCTTGCACTTTGTTGACAACCTTGAACTGAAAATTTTAGTTAATTCAAGATAGTTCTCACCTATCGTGATTGCAACCCACACTTCTTTTATTATGTGACCTATTTGAGTTTTGTTTTTAATTTGCACTAATTGAGAATATTTGAGCATCTTCTAGGTCCTCATGCTTGAAACTGTGAACTTAAAAATAGAAACTTCTTTATGCTTATGCTATATAAAAATCCCTTCACATGGCATTGCTTAAGCGACATGCAAATCCTCCTCGACGTCATATATTCTCGTGTTGAGTGTTGAAAAAGGTTGTACATTTTATTTTCGCAGCAGTGATGTTACAGTGAGAATAATTAAAGGGAAAACTATATTGAAGGTACCTATATTTTCTCTCAATTTTTAATTTGGTACCTATGTGTTTTTTTCTCTTTAATTAAACATTTAATTTATCTTTTTAGCAACATTAGCTCTTATAACTTTGTTCTATTGATATTTTTAGTCTCTACATAAGGATTAATGATGTTAATAGAGGAAAAATAAAGATTTAGTTAAGAACAAAAAACACATAGGTATCAAATTGAAAATTGACAAAAAGTATAAGTACCTCCAATATGGTTTTTCCATAATTAAATACTACCTCGGGTCCTTAATACTATCTCTGGTTCTAATTATAACAGTTAGTTGACTAATTTGAAAAGATTGAGAAAAGAAGTTAAGTTACTTATTTGTCATAAATAGGTGTTGTTTTTCCTAAAATATCTTTGCTAATCAAGTGTATTGGCTAGAACTAGGACTATTTTGGAAAAAAAATACATAAATATTAGAAACAAAATGAATTTGGGTCTTATATTTAGGATCAAAATAAAAGTCAAACGAGGTCCTATATTAAGGGCAAGAGGTAGTATAAGACCTTATTTGACTTTTATTTTGGTTCTAATTGTAAGATTTCAATCCACTTTATCTCTCATATTTATGCATTCTTCCTAAGGATAGTTTCTTTGATAATGGTAGTTCTAACTAATAAACTTGATTAGCAAGGATATTTTAGGAAAAACAACACGTATTTATTACAAATAACTAAATTAACTTATTTCTTTAATCTCTTAAAATTAGTCAGTTAGCTCTTATACTTAGGATTGGAGGTAGTATGTTGTTTCGTGTTTTACAATCCAATAGAGTAACTTCACTGAGTTTTGAAGGCCTGACCGTTAGTGTCGTCAATAAAATTTGCGCTACAAGTTCCTTAGATGATAACCAGGCACATTACTTGGATTTCAATCTGCGCATTTATATTGCATAACAAATTAAAAGTGAATAAGGGAAGAAAATGCACGGGATCATGTATTTATAAATTTTACTCCTTTTTCATATTTACATGGTAAATTAATCTTCTCTTGATGGTCGGGATAAATGAATGGATCCGTGTATGAAAATTGAATCTAGCCCACCACTGTGCTCTGTTTTGTTCCTCATGAACAGAGTAACCAACAAACCTGGAAAAGAGATGTAAATGGCAAAGCCCGGTAAATTCCCAGCTTCACGTTTTTACGGTGGTATCAGGAGACGCTAGAAGGCCAAAATTGTATTCGGTCTTTATGAATAGAAGTTATTTTGTCATAATCATGAGTGCTTCAGCTTTGTTCATACTGGGTTATGTTTGGCAAGCATAGCTTTTTTTTTCCCCCTCCCCCTTGACCTATCTGTCGTCCCCTGCGTTTTGCATCTGATTGTTTTTTTTCCCCAGTCCATGTCCACGTCATATGCTACCTCATCAGTTCATGTCCATGTAATATGGCACCTCTATGTCCAACTCATAAGTTAACGGTGTTAATGTCATGTCAGCAGAATTCAACAGTGCCAAGATGTTAGGGACCAATGGTCTGAAATGGACATAATTTGAGGAACCAATACTATACGTTCTAAATTTTAGAGACCAATACCAAATTAGGCCTAAATTTAAGAGATCAAAATTTATATTAATCCTAATTTATATTACAAAGTAAATTTTATATTTTAGACCGGAGGTATATTAAATAATATGTTTGTCTTGTTTTTGCATGGGAGAATTATTTTCCAGTTTTACACAAGTGAGTCAATTACTATAAAGTTCCATGATTTGTTAATATTGATTTACTAGCTTTTTAAAAAAAAAATTGAATTTTAATCCTAGTCTTTTTCAAATTTCAACACATAATAACATATATAAAGAGATGTCAACATTTTTGTTAAATTAATAGGTATATGGTTTCACTTGTAATTTTTAAATTTTTGAAAAATTATAGTACCAATCTAACATATAAGAGCTCATTGAAGCTTTAATTTAATTTTAAATATAAGACCATAGTTTATTTTATCTCTCATATTTATTTTTATTTTCAAGTAGTTCTCATAGTGATTACACATGTTAAAAGGTTTTCATTCTAATTCTAATACATATCATCAATAAATGTATTTTAATATAGACAACATTAATTTATGAAAAATAACTAATTTAACTAATTTTTTAATAATCATAAATTAGTTTTTTAACTCTTATATTAATTAGGATCGGCGCATTATATAGCTAGGTATAATTTATTACTATTGATAGCTCTCATATTATAAAATTATTGGGTATTTTAAAAAAGGT